CGATGAAGATTTAAGAGTGCTCGGAGTCAATTGGATAAAGGAAGACGTCAATAGAATCAAATTTAGTCAAAAGATGATCACAAATCAATTTCCAACTGAAAAGTTATGCTCCGATGTTTTAGTCTCATATTGAGACCTATTTTTGGCATAGAAAGTGATCGAATTGGAGAATGATGTCTGAATCAAAGTTGTAGCCAGATGAGTTAGTTTTCCAACGCATTTTGAATTGCCTCAATCGAATATCGGAATACAAAGTTATGATAAAAACACTGAAAGAAGGTGCAGCTGCCCGTTTAAAACAAGAAATTCCGTTACATAGTCCATTAAAACAACAAATTCCGTTAGTTTTTCCGTTAAAAATAAGAAATTTCGTTACATAGCTACTTTTAATATATGGAATATATATATATATACACACACACACACATATACACATCCATCTAATAATTACAAAATTCCATTCAAGTTCGTGAAAATTGTTTGCTATTTTTCTTTCTTTGGGTCCATTTGGCACGTTTCAATTTTTTGCGTATGCTTCTTGTATAAGAATTTCATAGAAAAGTTACTTTGTATGAACTTTCTCCAAAATCTTTTTTAACAAGACAAGATTCATTCAGAAAATTATTAAAACATGTTCAAATACAGATTCTTAATTTTAGAAATATTTTTTCACTTTCAAAAGTCATGCTAGACGAACCTTTAACATCTTCAAATTCTAACATTTATTTCCTCGTCGAGTTAACAAAGAGGGAAAAAAAAAACTCCTTATTTTTTTAGTCAAATTAATGGAAGGTGCCTTGCAATTTATCAAGTCAATCCAATTTTAATGTGATAGACAATAATGTATATGAATAATGTTATTTTGCTAGAAAAGAGGTGACATAATAGGTGTTGACAAAATGTGATTAGATAAAAAAGCTGACTGTATTTTAAGAGTTTTGCTACACAAACATAATGCTTGACGTATAAAATGACACAACACACACACATGAGGAAGTCAGCATTATTTAATTCAGGTCGGGACCCACATGCAACGTAAGTGGTCGGTCAACCCTTAAGTCAAGTATTATGCTCATTTAGTTTAATTCATATTTTGAACAGTTCAATAATAAGTTGTCATGTGGTATTATGTCAATTATTATATCTATGTAGCATGATTGAATGTACATGCACTTTCATGTAGTGCCACCACGTTAACAATTTTGGCAAATATTGAATGCAATCCCATGTTACCTTAATTGCACGTCCATAGGAGATAGTTTTATCCTTTATTATATTAGTCAAAAATAATATTTAAATAGAAATAAAATCAACAAAATCATCCCTAAAGTTAATTGGATCCTAAGATACTGCTTCATTCAAATTCCCTGTTTGGTAGAATTATTTTCCAAGTACTTCTTATCCTTTAATTCTCAAGTTTAAGCTCGACCAAATAAACAACGGAAATATTTAATTCGAGTACTCATTTTTTGAAAAGAAATCCAATTATTAATCTTAATTCATCTATTCCTGAAAAAAAAAAATTAATTCATAAAAGCTTTACTCATAACAGTCTAGTCATACAGACTCTGAGAGATATTTAACAAAATCGAAATACTACTCATTTGAAGTTTGGACATATCAAATTGTATGTTTGAACTTTTGAGCTCGGAGACCTCATCGAGTTTCAAAGTTCCATCTCGATCAACCTCATCGAGAAGAGTAACCGAAATCATATTATTGTTTTTAACGCTAACAACCTCGTCAAGAAAAATTATCTTTTAACATTAACTATTAGAAAAAAAAATTCAAATGAGTTAATTTAACATGGCACTAGAGTGGACGAAAATCTCGAACGTTGACAAAATTCAAGAATTAAATTATTCTAGATGAGTTTGTTGAGTTGTGAGAGGAGCCAAACAGAGCCTAAAGAATCCAACTAAAGTCCGGTGGTCATTTAATATAGAAGACAAAGGATTATTAATGAAAGATTAAATCACAAAGGAAAGAATACGAAAATTTCAAAAGTTTTAAAAGGAGTCATTAATGAGCTTTGGAACCCAAAAGGTCTATGCATTGTGCTTGCATTAATTCGCAACTGTCCTTAGTGTTCAAATTGCATTCAAATTTCAATGACCCCTAAAATATTTATTGAAATTAAAAAAATAAAATATCAAAATCAGCAATAAATTCTTTATAAATGACCTTAAATAATTATAGTAATTTCCATTTTGCATCATCATCACCACCCTCTTCTTTAATTCAAATCCATTCATCCACTCAACTCTCTCTCTCTCTTCTCTCTATAATACAATCTTCAACTTTCTTCTTTTCTTTCAATTGGGTTCTGCAAAAAAAGTTAAATATTCTCTTGTTGAGATGGCCACTGAGGTAAGTTATTTGGCCAGACTCATGAACGGTGGTGACTCAAATGAGTCAGCATCAATCGGGAAATCAACGTCCCCGATCACAAGGGATTTTCTTGGTGGGTGTTCTACGCTTGACTCTAAAGAGTTGGACCTCGATTTGCAAGTACCCTCTGGCTGGGAAAAACGTCTCGACCTAAAGGTATAATCTTTATTATTATCTTTCTTGAGAAATCCCATTTCTTGAATTGTTTGAATTTGAATTGATCCTGTATTCTTTGCTTACAGTCAGGAAATGTATATCTCCAGAGGTACAATTCGTTAAACGCATCCTCCTCAGAAAGTAAGCGTCAAGACCTCAATTTTCCTCCAGTGTCATTGAACCCTTTCGATGACGCCGCCTTAGACTTAAAGCTCGTACTGTCATCCTCAACTTCTGTGAAATCATCTAATTACCAAAGCGTGTGCACTCTAGATAAAGTGAAATCCGCGCTCGAGAGAGCGGAGAAAGAATCCTCGATGAAGCGGTCCATGTCAAAGTCAAAATCATCATCGCCGCATTCAAGTTCCTCGTCCTCTACAAAAGATAGTGAGATCGATCGAGAGGAGAAGTCATCGGCATCATTTGCTGCTGGATGCCCGAGGTGCTTGCTTTACGTACTAATCTCGAAGAATAATCCTTTATGTCCTCGATGCAACTGTGTCGTGCCGTTGTCTGTGGCTGTCAAGAAACCTCGAATCGACCTTAATATAGCTAGTTGAAATTTGGAGATACAGTAAAGATATCAAATGGTTTCTGAATTTTTGTAAAGATAGAAAATTGGGTTATATGAAAAAGGATGGTATATAAACATTTTGAACATTGGTTCCTTAAATTGCAGGTATTTTAGTGAGATCCATAGCCTTTGTGTCGTTCTATTTTTACGATTACTATTAGATTGAGATATTTCTCTATCTATCTATCCCTTTGTCCCTCGAGAATCTTTGTGTTTTGTGTTTTAGCGACGTCATTCTCTTACAAATTTTCAGTACAACTCATGGCATATCAAGTCATAGTTTTTTTTTTTTACCTCATCCTTGAATGCTAACTTGTCAAGCATATCTTCCCCACCCTGTTCTGTTCTGTCCTGTCCTATCCTGTACTGTCCCGTCTCCTAAAAGACTCTATAAAATATAGTGAATTTTATGATTAAAAAGTATCGTAACTTATTCTGTAACATACCACCAAATAATTTGTTTGGTTGGGTTAAATAGAAATCGGATTTTTAGTAGATTTTGATAAATATTGATGAAATGTGATTGAAAAGTTATGAATCCCGTGAGTTGTTTGATTAAAATTAATCGTTGACTTTGACTTAGTTTTTATTCAACTTTTTTAGCTGAATCAAATAAGTGAAGATAGGCTTTAACTTTTCCAAATATTAGTTGAGTCGATTACCTAATTCAATTGATGGTGATTAATGAATTCATGAACGAAATTTGGCTCATTAAAAGAAGAAACTACTTGAATAAGACATAATTACCCTAATTAACCAAATTAGGTTACCCTATCACTTAAGGTCATTAATGTCAGACAATGACTTGTATCCATGCAATTAAATGGGGAAAGTGTAATCAGCTAAACTTTATTTAAAAGAAAAAAAATAAGATTTAACAATTTTTTGGAAGTTAATTATGGCATTTACTGGGGCATTTAATTATTTGCCTAACTTACAATAAATTCAATAATAATTATTATTATGTATTTAAATAGCCACCTACCATTTTAGATGAAACCAATGTTGGAATTTGGATTTCTATTGATGGCCATTTATGCATCTCTGTCAATATTTTTTGACGGTCAATCATTTTTTCTTTCTTGGTAAAATTGTTGTTCGCCTCGGTTGGGCTTGAGCTCGATGAGATACACAACTGAGTAGAGAATTTCTTGTATGAATCGACTCGTCATAATGAGTAAAAGATACTATGATTTTAGTTACCGCCTATCTTCACCTAATAATTGTAAAATATAAAAAATGATTTTTTTTTTTTTAAATAAGATGTAAAATTTTTTAAAAATTTCGAGAAAATTAAAATTATAAAAAATAAAAATAATTCAACCTCTTAATGATTATCTGCATAAATATTTTGAAAAAAAAATACATTTAAATGAACACATTAAATAGGGATAAAAAACTTAGAAATCAACTAAACAGACTTAGGGTGTGTTTTTCATCTTTTAAAAATTAGCCCCTGTTTGTCTACCATTAATTCAAAAAATTGTTTGCTACAGTAAGATTCTCCACCACACATTCACCCAATAAAATATTATACACATAAACCAATAAAATTACTTTAATTTTCAACCACACATTCTCCAAAAAATACTATTCATTACACTAATTTTCTCTCAATAATGGGAGACAAACAAGCTCTTAAATTGTTTGCTACAGTATCATTTTTTCACCACACATTCACGTAATAAAATATTCTACACACAAACCAATAAAGTTGCTTTAAATTTTAACTACACATTCTCCAAAAAATACTATTCAAAACTTTATTCTTTCTCCCATAATGGGAGACAAACAGAGGCTTATAATTTGGAACACGCGAAAAAGAAAAACGAATCTATCGATCGAGTTGGGAGTCACCATGGTCAAGATTCGGAGGATACGTCTTTATAATAGAAATATACTCGATATTTTGAACCTCTTCCAAAGTAAGAAATTGATGACTTCAAAATTTTTGAAGTAGTAGTATGTCTTAGTTTCAACCTTAATAAAAAGAGAAATGTTATTCATCCTCACTGGGGATGCATTCCCAGTCTATATGGCGTTAATGTGGCAGGTATTTTCGTATCCAAAGAAACTTGTTGAGTGTTAGCATCTGTCAACTGAAGAGAATTAAAGCAAACCATAAAAGCAGGATCCATAAATGTCTTATTAATTGATAGGGTCCTCTCAATTTAGTAATGTGCAGTCCATTAATATTGAAATTAGCTCAGTAATAACTCACCACAGGTGTTGGTGAACTTTGCCCCGTCCAATTTGTTCGCTTCTTAATGAACCGAGACACTCCGATACATACGATAATAACTTACTTTACGGATAAGAGAATTTGACAAATTTTCGATGATAAATATTTGATTTTGTTGGGTTTTTGATACCCAATAAATCCGAGCGATGATGTTAAACCGGTTTTATGTTGGATTGGTCTTCATAGGCCTCGGCCGATGATTGAAGTGGAATGTCGACACCACAATGAACATACCATCCCGACACCCTAAGTGGGCCATTTGAAGTAGCCTAATTTGTTTAGTGTTGCTCATGGCTCGGCCCATTGCCTTGGACGGCTTTTAGTTGATAGCCCACTTGTTCGTTGATCATCTATTGGGCCTCTTGTTGCCTAAACCTAAAAGCCCATTCCCTTGTCCTATATGTGCTACCCGGTTTTCTAGTGTTGTTTGTGTGGGAGAATGTAGGAGCCGTGAGAGAGGGAGAGAGAGCCGTGACTTTGTGTCCTTGGGTGTTGCTATGTGCTTGCCTTGTCTTCTCCTTCCTCTCTAGCCTTTGTGGTTGTTTCTTGAGGCTGCCTTACACTCCACACCTTGTCCTTTGTGGGCTAAATGCTTGGGAGCAACCGGTGTTGGGTGGTGTCGGTTGGAGGAGTTGGTTTGCATTGTGGTGGTTCGGTTTGGTTTAATCTGAGCTCGGTTTTGGTTGATTTGAAGCCCCAAA